AAGCACAAAGTTAATGAAAATGACTTTACTACCGCTAATAGAATAATGGATACGTAAATTCTAATCTGTAATTTATGTTGGTTGTAGTGCTTCAAAATAGTGTTAGTCAACGTATTTCCTATTTTTAAGTGTTATGGTTATTGGTCTGACTTAGTCTATTGTTTGTTGAGATAATTTGGTAGGTAGTGCACTAGTGGACTAGTGGGTCATGTGCTACATGCATCATGTCAGTAATGCTTCCATTATTCTAGTTGTTAGTTATTTTTGCTAGTCTATATAAGCCGTGTAATCTTTGGTATTAAGAAAATCAAGTTATTAATCTTTCTCCCTTTATAAATTCAACAATTTATGAATAAAACTTGCAAAACAACACAAAGAATGTTTTTTGATCAAACTACCAATTACATTTCCAATTTCATACAAATGAAACAGTATAAAAGTACACCTTAATTAATTTCAACTATCCAACCCTTCTTGTCTTCAATCTGGCCATTTTGAATGCCAACATATATTGACAACAGTTTCTTAAACGTCGAATCGGTGTCTGATGCCAAGTATTCTACCCTGCAAACAAAAAAAATGCATAAAATGTGTGAAAATTCTACGATGTCATTCTTTATAAATGACACCACAATTTGCTAATGTGGTGAAATCTTATTGGCCTGTAATTAATATTTTTATTTTTATTTTAAATTATTTTTTATATCCATAATGTATTAAAATTTTATTTTTGTATGTATTCCTTTTAATAAATGTTTTTTTTTAAGAAATACATAATTATAAATTATGAAAGTCTATTTTTATAATATTAATTAATTTTGAATTTATAGTTATAATTAAAAATAAAAAATCAAAATTGTTTATAATTAATCATATTGTTCATCATTGTTCATCAATGTCCATCAATCATGTCAAAAATTAGCTCCCCATTTCCACAATCAATATTAGTTGTTGATAAATTTGTAAACCCGAACTAAAATCAGGATAAAAATTCGAAAATAAATTGTGTTTTTGCCTTTTTTTTTTTTTTTTTTTTTTTTTGCAATTTTTGATTATAGGTTTTTGTTCATAAAAAAAAAATATCAACAACAATCTCATTTATAATTATTTGCAAAGGACGAATTCCGCTTTGAATGGTTTGAAAATATGATTTATGTGAACTCAAATTGTGCAATTTTACCAAAAAATAAGGAATATAAAGTGTGTAGAAGATGGAGTGGTCGCATTTTTTTGTTCGCAACCCCTATTTGATCCGGTAATTAAGTTTTCTTGAACTTGTTTGTGAGTTAGGTAATGACCTAAATAAATACAGTCAATCACCTACCTTTAACCACAAACAGATTTAAAAAATCACATATCTCAATTCTGGATCAGACAAGTTTGTGAAAAAAAAAATCGAACTCTAAATTGCATAATACACCCTCGTTATCCATTGATTTTCATAAAAATTGAAAAAATCGTGCTTTAAATTATCGTAATACACGCTTCTAAGGTTATTTTCATCTTCAAAACTATCAAAGAACTTGATTTTTACATAAATCAAAATTATCAATCGAACCGTAAAACGAAATTTGTATATGGATTATGGAAGCAGATTCGAAACCCAATAAATCCGATGTTTGGACAGAATTTTTTGGTCGGAATTTTGGTTTGAGTTGCAAATAGATTATACAAGATTTTGGGGGTGATTAATTTAGATCATGAATAAAGAACAATGATGATTTTTTTATTTTCTAAATTTTAATTATAATTTAATTTTTCAAAAATGATTTTAGAAAGATAAAAATAGATTTTCAAACTTACAATTATTTTATTCTTTCGCGTTATATTTTCATATTTTATCAGTTCATATGCGGAGTAAAAAAAAAATATTAATTTTTTTTAAAAAAAAAAAACTCAAAATTTATATATACCTCTTGCCTTGGTAAGTAATGGTACCCACAGGAACAACCACGACAGCAGTTCCGGTGCAGAAAGCTTCATCTGCTTCAAGCAACTCCTCCACTGCGATCTGTTGCTCCTCAACCTAAACAAGAATCAGTAATGAAAATCTGAGATAGAGTGCTATACAAGTATATTGCTAAATTGTTCAACTTGGCGGGTATATGTTTTTTTAGACTGTAATGAGTCTAATGACTAACCTTAAAACCTTGTTCTCGACCAATTTCGATCATGCTTTTTCTCGTCACTCCTGGGAGAATTGTACGTTTTATTGGTGGAGTTGAGATTATGTTATCCTATAAATATGCATAGTATATGTGTTAGAGGACCAATACATGAGAGATTGTTGGGCTTGAAGTGTGGATACAGCATGGGCCCTCTGCATAACTAGCGTGCATTGAAATATTCCACTTAAAAATAGGAGAGGATATGATTTGAATCTGTTACCTTAGTATCATATTAACTCCGATATCATGTTAGAGGACCAGCTCAAATTAAAACTTAATCTAATGCTTGAAACTCGAGAATATGTTTTATACTCTATCAATATGCATTCTAATGAAGCATCTAAATTAGTCCTAGTGATTTCTATGAGTGGTGCAAAATAATTTTGAAGTACATTTTTTTTCATCTAAGAGATATTACCTTTACCATAAATATATTACAAGCAGAGACTTCCTCTACATATTTCCCGCTTACTGAATCAAGATACAAGACATCCGAATATCCATTGTTTTTCGCTTTTGCCAATGGTTTCATGCCCTGAAAAATTATATGTAGAGCAAGAAATAATTAGTAGGTAAATTAGTATAGATTATTTCAGATCGATTTCATAAGGAAAAATAAACAAAATAAAGCTTACTGGCGCATAGTTGGTAATCGATTTCATACCACCAACACCACCACGAGAAGCACGATCAAATTGATCCTCAACATACAAATTCAAGGTCGCACTCTCTTCCTAATTAAATACGAAGAAAATAAGGTACAATTATTTAGCACACCATCAAATTAATCTTAATTAAATCATATACTCCATCTATATAATTTCTAATTAACCGAAGAGAAAATGTAACAATTAGAATAATTATGAAGAAAAGTTATCTTAGAAATAAACCTTAAAATAGTTGTTACGAACAGGAGAAGCATAGACGAGGAATGTGTACTCCGGAGCTGGAGCAACACTCAGTGTTGCTCCAGTTCCTAGGAGCAAAGGTCTAATGTATAGCGAACCTTTCCCTGGTGGAGGAATCTGTGACATTATATGTAGTATAGTAGGGTTTGTATCAAATAATATATCACTATACAAAGTTCAAAAATTTAATACATATAATTAAATTATGTAAAATTTGTTTCTCACGACATTTTCGTAAATAAACCAATCAACAACTTTATTCAATTGTGAAGCCCACAATAATGAAAAGGCTATTGATTAATTTATTCACAAAAATAGCCTCATCGTAAGAAATAAATTTCGTTTCTCAATATGAGAAACTGAGAATTTCCCTATAATAATTTGACACCATAAAAAGGTTGGAAAATTATGCCACATACCCAACGTTTATTAGCAAGAGCTGTTTGTTTAATTGCATCAATAAATTGATCAACCGAAGGAGAAGGCATACACATTCTTTCGGCGCCTTTTTTCATGCGTAACGCATTTTCATCTGGTCGGAATAAAACAATCTTCCCATCTTCTCTCCTTAGTGCCTTCATTCCTTCAAATATACCCTTTGCAACCCAAAAAAAAAAACAACCTATTGTCAACCTGGTATGATTGTGTAATTTAAATTCAGTTACTAACATGACAACTAAATCTAGACAAGGTATAGTTTTTTTTTTTTTTTTTTTTTTTTTTTTTTTTTTTTTTTACGAGTAGACGAAGGTATAGTAGTTCAATACTTGATAACATGAAAATTATATTAGTAAACATAAGCTTAATTACCTGGCCATAATTCAAGACACAAGCAGCAGGACTCAACTCAATGTTTCCATATGGAATTAATTGACCCTCCGTAAATTCTTCATCTTTGAAACATTTCATCTTGTACATGTAATCTGTGCTTGTTAGCCCAAATCCTAATGTGTCCCAATCAATGTCTGCGTACCCATTTTCATCGCCACTGAGCAAATTAAATTAAATTTCGTTACTTCGTTAGGTCGTACGATGAAGTACGTACAAATAAATCATACTAGTAACGTTTATAGCGTAATAGGAAGAGACAATCCGCATACAAGTTAATTAAGGTAGGTTTATCCACATGTACACAAACCTTAATGTATTTACATGAACAATCAAGTTAGTCTATTTACCTATCTAGAATATAAGTTTATTTAGGAATTGAAATAACTCTACTACGTTCGTTACTGTATTAAAATCTTGTGTAAAGATGTTCATTACTATTTCTTTTAATGTAGGTCAATTGGTTTAAAAGGTAGTTTAATTTCAGTTCATTCATATGATGTTTCAAATTTACTAGAAATTCTTCCTATTGTATGAACTTGGATTTGAATTAAGAAGACAAACATAAAAGAAATTGATTAGTTAAAAACCATTTAGTAACTAAAAGAATAATACAAATATAAATGCACCAAAATATTACGAAGAAGCAAAATAAATATTAATCCATGACTAATTATGTTAAAAAATCACCAACTTAACATAAAATTACCTTAACCCCGAAGAAATCAAAGATGATACCGAGGCCATGGATGAATCTAAAGGTTAAATCAAGCTATATGACCGAAGAAAGACAAAAGGATTATGAAATTTATACTACATGAATGTCCTTTTCGGCGTAGGTGTTGCTAAACATTAGTCGCATTTTTTTAATCATGATTATCTTAATTGTATCTAGATGCATGAATAGAGCAGGTATAAAAGTGGACAACTTATTCAGGCAACCAATATAATAAGCCTTATATATAGATAATCTTACATGTACTTAATCAAATAGATTAATATAAAGTTGAGTCAAAAGAATACAACTTGAAATCAAAGTCCATTGCTTGTGATAAATGTAGTAATTAAGGTCTAGTCTTGATGCATTTGTTTTTAGTTTTGTTTGGAGAAAATAAGGACTGTTTGGAGTAGTTGGTGCATCCGGGTGCATAGTGCTCATGATGGTACATACTTTATTATTTCTCTATTTTTTCTATTTGCATACTTTCATTTCACGTTTTATTATAAAATGATAGTGCTCATGATGGTACATACACTTTATTATTTCTCTTTTTTTTTCCTTTTTTTATTTATTTGCAACACTTTCATTTCACGCTTGTCAAATGCATTAGTATTTATTTCAAGTATTCACTAGAAGGGTAGGTTGTGACTTGTGAAGTAGACATGTGATGGTTGTTGACCGGAAAAGGTTAAAGGATAAAGATGCACTTTCTTAGAAAAACTCAATAACACCCAATGGAGTAAATAGCTGTCTATTAGGGCATGTACCAACTCTTGGGGTTAATCGGTTAAATTTATAAAATCTTCTAGTGCATTATATTGAATGCTTAACTAATGTCTGCAATATTCTTTGGAAACTATGAATTATACTTGCAAAACACAATTAATACTTTGATCAAATAAACTACAAATAACATTTTCAATTTCATATTAATGAAACAAGCAATAATATGAAAATATATATACCCTAGTTAATTAATTTCGACTATCCAACCCTTCTTGTCTTCAATCTGACCATTTTGAATACCAACATATATTGACGAGAGTTTCTTATACATTGAACTGGTGTTTGTTGTTCCGTATTCTACCCTGCATTGTTTCCATGTCAAAAAATTGCATTAGGTACCTTGTTAAATACAAAAAAAAAAAAACTTTCTTTAAATCGTCGTGTTCATACTTATATTATTTTGACCATTAGTATAAGGCCTATAATATTAAAACATTATAGTAGTTATATTTCAAACAATTAATATAAAATTTTCATAAAAAATCGAAGTCGCTGTGTACAAACCTTTTGCCTTGGTATGTTATGCTACCCACGGGTACAACCACAACAGCAGTTCCGGTGCAGAAAGCTTCATCTGCTTCGAGCAATTCATCCACCGCAATCTGCCGCTCCTCAACCTAAACAAGTGGTACTCATTTGAGACAAGTTGCTATATATAGTCGAGTAGCTTAGTCATTCATATCATATTGCTAAATACGTACTCCGGTACTCGTATTGGTTTTTCAACCTGGCGGTGTATAACCTTGATTACATTTTGGAGTGAATTGAATGATTTGACTAACCTTAAAACCTTGTTCTCGAGCAATTTCGATCATGCTTTTTCTAGTCACTCCTGGGAGAATTGTGCCTTTTGTTGGTGGAGTAGAGATTATTTTGTCCTGTAACATGTACATAGTATATGCCTTCAAATTAAATGAACCATGCATCTTAGTCTTAGTGATTTCTATTGACTCATGCAGTCATGCTTAATAAATTGAGAGTACATTTTTTCATTAATATATATACTTCATCTGTCCCTATTTTATTACCCTATTTGAATTTTTATGATTTTCAAGACGCGTCTTAAAACGTATATATATATATTCATTTTCATACATGTAAAAATTATAAAAAATTGATATTAATAAAATATGCAATAAGTCGAATCTACAAGATCACTCATGACTATATTGTCTCTTGTAAATTAACGTTAATTTGTAAAAATTTACAAATTTGTCCCAAAAAATAACAATGGGACAAAAATAAAGGGACGGAGGGAGTAGGATCCAAGAAATATGTATTACCTTAACCATAAATATATTACAAGCAGAGACCTCCTCTATATATTTCCCAGTCGAGGAATCAAGATACAAGACATCCGAATAACCATTGTTTTTCGCTTTTGCCAATGGTTTCATAGCCTAAAATATATAAGAGCAAGTGATCATAAGTTGGTAATAGATGTAGATCGATTTCACAAAATCAATGATACCCGTTGAAATTAAAGAGAGAAAAACATTTGCTTACTGGCGCATAGTTGGTAATTGATTTCACCCCACCAGCACCACCACGAGAAGCACGATCAAACTGATCCTCAACATACAAATTCAATGCAGCACTCTCTTCCTAACACAAGATAAATTCCGATTACAACTTAAAACGCTACTCCATCTCTATTTTAATAAGTGTTATAGTTTGACTTTTTCCACCATTCACATAATGGTTTTGACTTGATTAATTCACTAATATATAAAAAACAAATGATGTATAATATATTGTTGGATTCGTTATAATGTATACTTTTTTAATATTAATTCAATATTAAAATCATATACTCCATCTATTTCTAAATAAGTACTGCATATGTAATATTATATTATAGAACAGAGAGAGTAAACCTTAAAATAGTTACGAACTGGAGAAGCATAGATAAGGAATGTGTACTCGGGAGCCGGAGCCACACCTAGGATTGCCCCAATTCCTAGGAGCAAAGGTCTAATGTATAATGAACCTTTCCCTGGTGGAGGAATCTGTTACAACATATTGTATGAGATCAAAAATTTTATCAAATAATATCACAATAATACAAATTAAAGGGGATGATTAACTTGTAGTTACATTAATAAATCACATACCCAATGTTTATTAGCAAGAGCAGTTTGTTTAACTGCATCAATAAATTGATCAACTGAAGGCGAAGGCATACATATTCTTTCGGCACCTATTCTCATACGTAACGCATTTTCATCAGGTCGGAATAAAACAACCTTCCCATCTTCTCTCCTCATTGCCTTCAATCCTTCAAATAAACCCTTTACAAGCACAAAATTACTATAGTCAGCTTAAGACTAATTGTCGCGTAAATAGTGTAATTTAAATTCAGCCACGTGACAGCTAAATCTAGACCAAGGTAGGACTTGATAGCATACTTTGTCACATTCATGTTGATCTGAGACATAGTCCTTTGTAAAAGTTTCTCATCTTAATAATTATAATTAATGTTACTACATTCGTTAACTTTTAGTTGAACATTGTGTTATTATTTGTGAGATATAAAATATTTCAAAGTTGCCACTAAAAATTAACGGAGGTAGTATTTTTATATACAAAGCAGCTTACAAAATTAATCATTAGTGCCTGCATGAGTTAACGAAATAAAATTAAAGAAATTTACTAAACATAAGCTTAATTAATTACCTGGCCATAATTCAAAACACAAGCAGCAGGACTCAGCTCGATGTTTCCATATGGAATTAGTTTACCTTCCGTAAATTCCTCATCTTTGAAACATTTCATCTTGTACATGTAATCTGTACTTGTTAGCCCAAATCCTAATGTGTCCCAATCAATGTCCGCGTAGCTGTTCTCATCGCTACCAAAAAATAAATTAAATGTCGTCGTTAATCATACGTAGCATTTTTTTTTTTAGAGCCACAAGAACGGATGATGAGAATCGATATCATAATCTCTTGGAACCGGGATGAAAGCTCTAACCATTTAAGTTATCCTTCACTCTCAGCATAGTAATGGTTTAAAAGTTACGATTATTTAAAGGAGGTTATATCCGTCCACACACAAACTGTAACGTGAGCATCATTCTCTAATCGTATTTACGTTATTACATAAGCTATCTAATTAATCTATTGAATAATCTAGAATAAAGTTGATTTAGAAATTGATCTAATCTATACTATATATTAAAAGGCGTTCTTTTATTTTATTCCAAGTGAGACAATTGACTTCAAGATTATCGTTTCAATTCACTGTTGTAGTGGTACAGATTTGGATTAAAGAAGTTAAACATAAAAAAAATGATTAGTTAATCAATAACATATATATATATTAGTGACTAAAAAGTAAGTAAAAGAATAGGAATATGCAAATGCACCATATTAATTACCGCAATGAAGCAAATATAAGTCCATGACTAAAGAGATTTTATGAAGCTTTACAAAAATAAAACATATTTAGGCGAAATTGCGACATTTACCTTAATCCAGAAGAAACTGAAGACGATATTGCCGCCGGCGCCATGGATGAAATGTAAGATTTATACGTGCTATATCAATTTCAGATAGAGATTGAAGAGATGGTGTGAATATAACAAGTTTTGTAGTGGTATTGTGGTGCTAATGTTTGGTATCTCGATCTGTATATATAATTTTGTTACAATGATGTAGGACTATTACAAATTTAATAATAAAGACTTTATTATAGGGTCAATTTTAATGTATAAATCTAAGACTACGAATTATGGAATTATGTAGGCAAATTCCTTATAGATTTCTTTAATTGGGAGAAACTTCTGAGATGGAACCAATATTAATTTTATTTATTTGATGGGAATATAATACAACTTACTATAAGCTAACTTGCATGACTCGTAGAGTCATAGTAAAATATTTATTTGGAATATTTAACGCATGTGGACTAGCTCCAAAGCCACAAATAGTACATATTTTTATTCGTTTTTAAATGTTTCAATTTGACTTTTAAATTAATACTTTATTTGGGAATTATACTTAATACTTGATTAAATTATGTGCATATGGCAATTTATTAGAATTGTTTCAAATACATATTCTAAATATCAACTCTTTAATATTGATGATTAATTGATTATTATAGACATTATCGACTTACATTTCACATTGGCACATTGCATACATGCTCAGTCAAAATGGGCTACGTACGTAAACAGGATCGAAGGAAGTAGACAAGATTTGATTTTAAGTCTTGTATATTAGGCATATGTTGAGTTCATGTGGAGTTTTTTTTTTCAATTGAGAATTTTTCCTGTAATTTAAGTAAAAGTAAGTTAAGCACCAACGAAAAAATTGTTCAAAACACCTTGCTACTTGCAAGGAGATTCGCCTAATTACCAGAGTTGTTGCTAAAAAAAAACTAATCAAATGCAAAGTAACTAATTATTAATTATATATTCTACCTAATTACTCGTTTATACCAAGTAGCACCGACTTTTATTATATTTTTCCTTAAAAATACAAATAAAAAAATAATAATTAACCTTTTAATTCCACTGAGTAACTTAAGTCTCACCGGCCACCGAATTTCCTTGTGAAATTCTCAGCGCACCACAAGTATGCAAGTTTCAATTTATTTAAAATTTAAAAAGAGATCATTCAACTAAATTAAAAAACCATTTGTATTTAAAAAAAAAATTAAAAAAAATAAAAACATTTGTTGATCAAAAAATTTCGGGTCTAGTTTGGAACGGCTCAGGCTGAATTCAGGTCAGGTTAGTAACAAGTCGGGTTAAATTCGGGTTAAAACGGGTTAAGGTCAATTTCGGTTCAAGTCGGGTTCGGTGTAAGTTAATTAAATTGGTCGTTGTACACCGGTAAATCGGTGAAAGTTGTAAACCGGTAAATTGGTCGTTTAACAGCAAATTGGATGGTTCCACACAGTAGGGTATTAAGGACCATGGTAAAAAATTTGGCAATTTTTATTTCCGGACTAAAAAAGTCAAAAATTCTAAAATTGAAGGCTAATATCCATGCTTTTTGAGTAATTTTGTAGGTTTCGAGGCCCGGTGTTGAAAAGTCTTGAAATTCTATGGGATATATCTCGAGGTCATATAATGTCATTTGGAACCATATATGATCATTATTTGTTATCATAAATGTTTGTGGTAGGCCTAAACTAATGAAATCGGTGCAAGTTGTAAACCGATAATTGGTCGTTTAACAGCAAATTGGATGGTTCCACACACCCAATTAGACTCCCAGAATGTATTAGGGAGCATGGTAAACATTTCAACAATTTTTATTTCCGGGTGTAAAAAAAAAGGTCAAAAAAATCCAAAATTGAAGGCTTATATCCACGCTTTTTTTTAAAATTTTGGAGATTTCGGGGGCCAGTGTAGAAAAGTCTTGATATTTTCGGGGATACATCTCGGGGCTATATTTTATTTCGTTTGGAACCATTTATGATCATTATATGTTGTCATAAATGTTCGTATAGTAGTATGCTTGAGTTAATGAAATCCGTGCAAGTTATAAACCGGTAAATTGGCCATTTAAAGGCAAATTGGATGGTTCCACCAACCCAATTGGACTCCCGGAGGGTATTAGGGACCATAGTAAACATTTCGGCAATTTTTATTTTTGGGCAAAAAAAAGTCAAAAATTACAAAATTGAAGGCTAATATCCACGCTTTTTGAGAAATTTTAGAGGATTCGGGACCCGGTGTCGAAAAGTCTTGAAATTCTAAGGGATGAAAATCGGGGTCATATAATGTCGTTTGGAGCCATTTATGATCATTATATGTTGTCATAAATGTTCGTGGTAGGCTTGATTTAATGAAATCGGTGCAAGTTGTAAGCCGGTAAATTGGTCGTTTAAAGGCAAATTAGATAGTTCAACCAACCCAATTGGACTCCCGGAGGATATTAGGGACCATGGTAAAAATTTCGGCAATTTTTATTTTCGGGAGAAAAAAGTCATAAAATTCCAAAATTGAAGGCTTATATCCACGCATTTTGAGAAATTTTGGAGGTTTCGGGCATGGTGTCGAAAAGCCTTGAGATTTTAGGGAATACATCTCGGGGTCATATAATGACGTTTGGAACCATATATGATCATTATATGTTGTCATAAATGTTCGTGGTTGGCTTGAGTTAATGAAATCGGTGCAAGTTGTAAACCGGTAAATTGGTCGTTTAAAGGCAAAGTGGATGGTTCCACCCACCCAATTGGACTCCCGGAGGGTATTAGGGACCATGGTAAAAATTTCGACAATTTATTTCCAGGTGAAAAAAAGTCAAAAAAAATTCAAAATTGAAGACTAATTCCACGCTTTTTGAGATATTTTGGAGGTTTCGGGTAGAGCTATCAATTCAAGTAAACGGGTCGGGTTTTGGTCGATAAGAGTGGGTGGGGTCAACTCAGATTAATTCCATAACCTATGCAGGTCTGGTTTGGGTTGGGTCATGCTTTAGTCGGGTCATACTTCTTATCGGGTTAAGGCCGGGTTAATAACAGGTCGGTTACATTCGGGTTGGGTGAACAATAGGTCGGGTTTAATTCGGATTTTCACAGGTTTAAACTGGTTAGGGTAATTCTCGAGTTCGAGTCGGGTTGGGTTCAAGTCAATAATTTGCGGGTTATAAACAGGTCGGGTCATTCTCGGATTTGAGTCGGGTGTAGTTCAAGTCAATAATTTGCGGGTTATAATCAGGCCGGGTCATTTTCAAGTCGAGTCATTCTCAGGTTCAAGTAGGGTTCGATTCAAGTCAATAATTTGTGGGTTATAATCAGGTTGGGTCATTTTCAAGTCGGGTTATTCTCGGATTCAAGTCGGGTTATGTTCAAGTGAATAATTTGCAGGTTACAATCAGGTCGGGTCATTTCCAAGTCAGGCCATATTCGGGTTCAACTAACTATAAATAGATAATTAGCATATCAAGCTAATTATTTCCTTTGACTATAATATATATGGCAATATACTAGGGAACTATAGTCTATAATTTAGGAAGATAATTATCTCCTTTGACCATACAACAAATATATACTACATTTTACTCTTAAATTTGAGGATGATGCTCCTTTCTTTTGTTGGCCTGGACTGACTTGGTCTCCCTGGACAAAATGCTTTGATCAACAATAATAAAGTGGTCTAAATTGCATTTAAGGTGATTTTAAATCAGGTCAGGAACAATTTCAGTTGAATTTAGGTCGGGTCAATAACAAGTCGTGTTCATTTCGAGTCGGGTTAGTAATAGATCATGTTGAATTTTTTGGTCGAGTTAGTAATAGGTCTAGCAAAAATTGGGTCGGGTCAATAACAAGTCTTGTTGAATTTTGGTCAAGTCAATAACAAGCCGGGTTGATTTCGGGTCGGGTTTGTAACAGGTTGGGTTAAATTCGGGTCGAGTTAGGAATGGATCGGGTTGAATTCAGGTCAGGTTAGTAACAAGTTGGGTTAAATTCGGGTTTTGACGGGTTAAAACGGGTTTAGGTCAATTTCGATTCAAGTCGGGTTCGGTTCAGGTCAATAATTTACGGGTTATATTCGGGTCGGGTCATCTCCAGGTGAGTTCATGTTCGGGTTCGGGTCTCACATACTCGGGTCAACTCGGGTCTAGGGTTGGTTTCAGGTCGGGTTTGGGTCATCATTTTTTCGAGTTCAGATGGGTCGGTTAATAATCGGGTTTGAGTCGGCATTTCAGGTCGGGTCAACTTTTGACAGTTCTAAATACTCGTCCTTATATAGTTTTTTTTCATGTTGTTCAATACGCATCTTAAATCATATTTATCTCCACTTCTATATATCCGTATTATAAAACTTGATAATAATAAAATAAGCAATGAGATGACTTCAACAAGATCTCGCATGATTATATTGTATTATATCTTACACTTAATTGTTTGTCCCATTGCAAGTATTTGGGTCGATGTTTAAAAACTTTGTTCATAAATTCTTGTTAATTGTAATATACTTATCTGGGATCTTGTTGGATTCGTCTCGTTATATATTTTATTAATATCAAAATATTATTATAATAAAAGTACCCTTAAAAATTGACCGTTAGTAAAAAGTTCCCCTTTTACAATTATTGTTATTTTTTGGGTTAGATAAAATGCCTTACTACGTCGAAACCCCTCACAGGGCAACCCAACCTGATTTTGTGCGCTAGACAATTTGGGAGTGTAGGGTGAAGATAAGGAAATCCCGTCATGCAAATTGTCAATAATGGGGATTCTTCTAACCTCATATTCCCTCTGTCCTCGTTTTTTTTGCCCCATTGCAAATAATTGGGTTAAACTTTGAAAAATTTGACTATAAATATTCATTGATGTATAATTTGATAATATAGCCAAATGGGGTCTTGTTGGATACGTCTCATTGTACATTTTATTAATATGAACGTTTTATAATTTTTACACATATAGAAACGAAATTATATACCTTATAAGACGCGTCTTGAAAATGTAAAAAGTCCAATAGGGAAAAACAACATAGGGACAGAGGGAGAAGTTGGAAGGTGTTCTCCTTTCTACTAGATCAAGATTAGCAATCTTGGTATAAAAATACAATTATTCTTACTTAGGGTCTGTTCACATTTAATGAATTGAGCTAAAATTAACTAATTTGAACTAATTAGAGCTGAATTGAACTGAACTGAATTGAATTGAATTGAGCTTAAATGAATATCTTATTATTAAAGAAGACAATTAAGAGCTAAATTGAACTGCAATTAAGCTGAAATGTACAAACCCTTAGTTGCGTTAGTTCACTATTGCCTTATTATCATGTTCATCGTGCGGACCGTACATGGTGGCATCAATGTTATTGGAGTGTAAACCAGACAAATCGACCTGGCCCAATCCAATCAATTTCCATTGTGGGCTTGGCCCACTATTGGCCTATCCTGTTTTCTTAGTGCGCTCGTACCTTTGTAGACCCCAATTACCTTGATATTTTTCGACACTACCTAATTCAACTTTGACTTCAATCTAAATCAACCTCACATAAAATTAATTAAACTAATAAATCTAATTTTAACGATTCACTTAACATTAATTGGCTACTCGTCTATGCCCACCTAGTATAATCTAGAGATGTATTTTAAGTTGGCTACTAGTTCATGCCTGTCTAATATAATCTAGAGATGTAAGATAGTGGACTAGACTAGTTAGTTAGTTCTCCGCCTTCTAAACCTAAGGTCCGGAGTCAAATCACATCATGAGGAATTTTCTTTACATTACGGGCTTTCTTATTTGTATTTGTTATGTTGCTAATGATATTATGGTCAACTTAGTAGTTGAATAGCTAAAAAAAAAAAAAGGTTAAACGTGTCATTTATTCTGAGACAAAGAAAGTATATTATTTTCATATTTTAATTCGCATCCAAATATCTTGTTATATAATGGGAAATTTTTCACACTTAACACAATAAACTCATGTGATGTGTTGATATAGGTCATATCATTGTTACATCACTCTTGCACTCTTTTCTTTTTATTTTATGTCATGTGAGATGTTTCAATAAATCTTTGTTGATCAATTGATTTTTTAAATTCTTAGTGTTTAATACTATACCATTAAAAATCAAACTACTTTATCATCTACCCTTAATATGCATGCTCAATTCTAAGAGTAACATAATTTGAGGAATGAAAGAGTATAATTCAATGCATAAAATGACACAATTCAAACAACACCTATATATTAGCTGTCTTTGTAAAATCACAAATCAATAATGTCTTGTGACTTGAAATAGAATCCCAAATACAAAATAAAGCTTTATTTTCTCAAATCTTAGTTGGATATGATATGATTTATAATTATGGTATAGCATGCATTTGAGTTTCACGTGAAATAGAAGAAATAATAAATAATAAAACCTGAAATATGATTAATATTAAAGAGACAGGTAGGTGAGAAGAAATGTAGTCATAAAGCAAAAACTTGGCATTAGAAATATATACAAATAAAACGAGTAGGAGTAGTCATTCATACAAAGGTAAATTAATGGACCACTGCACTCTCGAGCCCTGTTTTTGTCATTGACTTTTATGTTCTAATAGTGAGCACTAAGCAGTCCATTGAAGCCAACAGCACACTGATAAGAACTAGGATACACTACCAATATTAAAATAAAGTTCATATATCACACATTGTCACGTTCACATCCTCCTTGTTCTGGTTACTACTCGTACTAAATACGGAGTACTTCATTTATAATCCGTATCAATTATTTTTAGTTAACATGTTCTTTTTAACTATTGATGTCAATAATGTACTCGAAATGATTTTAATCTCATTTATATGTACTCCGTAGATATTACTAAGTTACATGCTCATACTCAAAGTGTTTAGTTAAAATGGATTCAATTACAAAAATATCATTATGATTGATGAACCATTGTTGATATAATTATTTCTTTTGCATACATGCTTCATGAATACTTGTCATTTGATTGGCTTAGTAAAAGAACAAAGTTTGATGCTTGGATAACTTTGGCCCTTTCGATATCAACCGAATTTGTTTCATTAGTTCATTGCAATTACTTTATGTTGGTATTAAAATATAATTTTATGACATTGATACTATATGGTAAATCCAGGAATATTAAAATTGATTTTGTATTGATTTACACGATATTGTAAGGTAAACCCAAGAGCAATCAACATAGTGTACCCAAAGAGCAATGCAATGCAAGTCCCTAATTTATTTGTATAAATTCATTTACATTTTCCAACCAAATTTTAGGTACCTATCCTTAAAAACTTCAAATTTGTTGGCTATTACAAAGTGTACACAAAATAGTTCATGTAAGCAAATCATAGTAAATTATAAACAAAGATTGACTTGGACATGGAAGGAAAGGTACTAATAAATGGATTACATACAATATTGAGCATCAAATTAAATAGCATATAGTTACATGTCAGAATCATCAACTATCATCAATACTACTAAATGAGATAGCATACCCTTTCACCAACCTCTTTTACAAACAAAAACTTACACCAACTAACTTTGTTAATAACCCTCCTTATACAATCGTACCAACAAGTGCTTAAATCAGCTAATACAACATTTGTTGGCTCGAATCTGGATTAGTCATCGAACCCTAATTACCAAATGATATTCCCTAAAATACTATTGTACCAACAAGTGATTGGATCAGCTGATACCCCTGAGAATGCAGCAACATTTGTTGGCTCGAATCTGAATTAGTCGGACCCTAATAACCGAGTGGTATATCCTAAAATACTATCATATCAACAAGTGCTTGAATCAGCTGACACTAAAGCCCGGAGAACACAGCAACATTTGTTGGCTCGAATCTGAATTAATCGGACCCTGATTACCGAGTAATAATACCCTAAAAAAATCAAAACTCCCACAGAATTCAAGGAGAAAGTGGAACACTTCCAAGATTTAGAATAAGATCAAGCAAAGACCCACCACAAACAAGAGGCTTAGCAGGAATCCTGAAACAACTATCTGAATCAGTTCCAGGAATTCCATAGCACTCTGGTGGAGGCCTCTGCATCATTTTACCAGGTATACAATTCAATGAAAAATCAAACCCAATACTTCCCATGAACAAACTTGAACATTTTGAGCTATACCCAGAAAAGAAATTATACTCAATGCTCAAATTCAACAAATTTTTTAATGAACATACTAAATCTGGTAACTCCCCAGATAATTTATTATGTGCCAAGTTCAAAACTTGTATATCATCCAGGCAGGACAATGAATCTGGTAAATGACCCATCAAAGAATTAAAGCTCAAATCAAGAACAGTAATATCAGAGAACAACCCCAAATTTTCTGGGATACACCCACTTAATTGGTTGTTTAAAAACAGGATTTCTTTCAATGCAGAGTTGACAAACCCTAAACTTGCAGGAATACCCCCAGAAAAATTATTGTTTGACAAGTTAATGACAGAAGCAGGGGAGTTGCCCAAATTTTGTGGGAGTGTACCATGAAATTGGTTATTGTTTATGAAAATTGCATCAAGTTGTTTTGTGAAAAGATCATCAGGAATTGACCCATAAAAATTGTTGAATCTAAGATCAAGATAGATGAGGTTTGGCATGTAAAGGATGGGATTGGGAAATGTGCCTGAAAATTGGTTGTTACTTAGGTCTAATTCAGTGAGAAATTGAAAATCTTTGAAATTTTGAGGGATTGTACCTGAAAATCTGTTGGAATTAAGGTGAAGGAGAGATAATTCAGTGAGAAGAGTAAGTTCTTTGACAAGAATACCCTTGAGATTTGCATGATTAAGATCTATAGCAGAAACAGAGGAATAAACAGGGGAAATATTATCACCATCATAATTCTCTTGAGAAGATGAGCAAAATACACCTTTGTAATTGCATACATTTGGGCCCACCCAATTGGTTAAAACCCCATTTGGGTCTTCAGTTATTGCAGCTTTCCATGCTTGCAGAGCTGTGTAAGCCTTACTTAGACTAGGACTAGGTGGTGATGGTTGTGGCGGTGGTGATGGTTGTTGTTGTTGTTGTTGTTGTGGGGGTGAATTTGGATTGTTGTCACCACCGCCAATCCAAACCCCACTTCCACCACCACCGCCTCCACCTGCAGTTCCTCCGCCAATGCCGACACCCATGCCGACGCCGATACCGAAGGCGGCTTCGGTAGAGAAGATGAGGAGGAGGGGGAGGGAGATCATGAGAAGAAATGTGGGCATTTTTGAGGAGTTTTTTGTGAGTTGGTTATTAGGTGGTGTTTATGTTCATGATTGTTTGTGTTAATTTGGGTGTGGAAGTGTATGTTTACTGCTATGAGTGAAGGTGGAGACAGCAAATGGTGGGTCTTACTCTACTAATTTGGTGTAAAATAAGTGTATGTATTAAATGGTACTCGTAGATATCTTTGTTGTTTAGCTCAATCTTTGTGTATAATCAATCTTGTAGGTTTTGTCATGACTCATGAGATTACTTAAACAAAGTGTAAAGTGATTCATGAAAATTTGAAAATGACATCAAAAATTTGAAATTATATGCGAAAAATCATCCAATTATGATAATTATTCTAATATTAAAATTATAAAGGGGAAATCATCCAATTATGATAATTATTCTTTATTTAGTAACATTGATATGGAGATTAATTAATTTCACCCTTATTGCTTCATCTCCTTCTTCCTACTTCCTTCCATCATAATCCCTCCATTTAAAATAATTATTCTTTATTTAGTAACATTGATATGGAGATTAATTAATTTCACCCTTATTGCTTCATCTCCTTCTTCCTACTTCCTTCCATCATACTCCCTCCATTTAAAAAAAAATGTTCTCACTAATTGAAATCTTGACAACATTCGTTAGATGAAAAAATCTTATAAATTACTCTTAATATATACACCCTTCGTATTTTATTACTTGTTTTATTTCTACAAACATGGAGTTTTAGGAGGAATAGTAAAAAATATTTTTTTTTAATAACGGAAGTGTTTTTTTTTTTTTTTAGGAAAAGTGTGGTTGGTTAAGAAAATGTAAAAAGGCAAATTAAAAGTGGGTATAAGAGGGAAGAAGAGAGAATAAGAAAAATAAGACAAAAGTTAACGAACACCCTATGGGTTGATTAATATGCTTAATAGTAGAATTATTAACTTGAAATAAACATTAATTACAACGACCGATGTATGATTTTGACATGCATTTTCAAATTAATACAAATTTAGAAAAAATTTAAAGGCTTATCCAACGCCTCGAGGGCATTTGTTAGCCAGATTCAAGTAATCAAGTATCCAACTATCAACTACTATTAAAATTTTCCAAATACGGCGCAAAATGAAAGTGGAATAAGTAAATACGGAGGGAGTAAAATATAACATTTTCATGTACATGCTGGATCTTGTTTGATTAATGTCAATGAATATATTATCGAATTGATTTCAATTATTATATAGAGTATTTTTTACAAATATACAATTTAAAATATTTATGGTCAAAGTAATGCGTTGATAATCGTGTACAGTCAAAGTAAGAAGATCATTTTAAAACGAAAAAAAGTATCATGTGGAGAAACAACCTGTCTTGTGTGTGGCTGGTCACTTATAAAAGAACAAAGTTACTCTTAAATCACTAACCAAGTAACCCTTGTAATATTAACCGAATAACCCATGTAATACTAACCAAGTAACCTATAACACCAACCAAGTAACTCTTGTAATACTAACCGAGTAACCTTTTTAACATTGACCAAGTAGCCCCTATTTAATACTCCTTTTGTTTTTGAATACTTGCTCCACATTTCATTTTCGGCCGTTTTTAAATACTTGCTATATTTCCTTATTTGAAAAACATATACAATATTTAATTTATTTTTCTCACCTAGTGGACCCACCATAAATCACTACTTTCATATTTTATTACTTTCTCCAATTTTTCAACTCCACCCGTAAAAAAATGGAGCAAGTATTTTAAAACGAAAAAGTAACAAAGTAACCCTTATAACAACACATATGAGAATTTGTGATGTTGAAAATGTATCACATTAAAATGAAAATAAAGCAGATGTGTCACGAATGTCATTTAAAGAAGACATAGGGAGAAGTAACAGAAGGCGTAATAGTGTAATACTCCATACTTCTAATCTCTTTTCTTAACAAAACTAGAATCTCTTTCAGTTTTTCTACTCCGTAATAAGCAACACTTTAATTTGGTGGGTAGAGTTCTTTTTTTTTTTTTGAAACATTGGTGGGTAGAGTTCTAATTAACATAACAAAATTAAAGTTTAATTTTAAGAAAAATTTCTTATTATTTGGTATTGCATTTTTAGACGATGACGATCCAACAAGAAGATGATCTTGTTAATGACACAGAAAACTGGAATTTGAAGAAAACCCAGAAGAAAAAAATCATAAAGATTGATGCTAAAAAGGTGTTGATTGGAGCTGGAGCTAGGATCTTCTTCTACCCAACTCTTCTCTACAATGTTCTTCGCTATAAAATTGAATCTGATTTCAGATGGTGGGACCAAGTTGATCAGGTTTTACTTCAATTTTATGCCCCATTTTCATATTCATTTCATTTGATCTTATTATAAGTTTATAGAGATTTGTTGAGTTTTATTGATTGGGTTTTTTCTTGTAAAATTAATGCTTTTAATTTGTCATTACTGGGTGAAACTATTGAATTGCATTTGGTAGTATTGAATATATGAAATGGGGGTTTTCATGGAATAGGAACCTTGAACAAGGATGTCTGATATTATTATTAGCTTGTTATAGGTTTATAGAATTTGTTGAAGGTTTAATTTATTGGGGTTTTCTTGCAATATTATTGTTTTTAATTCTCATGATTGACTGAAACTATTGAATTGCATTTGGTGGTATTAATGAATATATGGGAGTTTGATAATTGAATTAACCCTATTTGATTTCTTTGTCAATATATACATGATGAAATCAAATTGTGGAGATTTCTTGTGATATGGAAAGCAGAAATCTTGAATTTATCAGGAAGTGAAATAAAATTGTGGGGACATTAATAATTTGGAAAGAAATTTGATTTTGATTTTGTTTTGGGAGTAAGTTTTTGTTTTTAGGTGCTGTGCCATTCCCCAAAGATGTTGAACGATTGAAGCAACTTGGTGTTAGTGGGGTGATTACCCTTAATGAACCATTTGAGACTCTGGTTCCTTCGTCAATGTACAAGGTTAGTATATAACTTTAGTCAATTCACAACGCTTCCAGTGTGATTAGTATTCTAGACTATAAACAAAGGAGAATTGTAGCTCTTTGTGAATGTTACATGAGGTAGTTAACTTGTTGTATAGTTTACATCCCAAATTTGTTTTGCCTGATGAGCTGGTTATTAGTTGCAAGACCAAGACTTCTTTCGATCAGTGGTTCTTTTTCATGCTTGCAATGGCTTGTACTTCATAAACAAAGTGTTATTCTTGGAATTCTTATTGTTTAAAATTCTGTTTTGCATTCATGTAGGAAATCTATCTTGTTTACTGTTGCTTCTTTTTCACCAAACTTAGGTTAGGTTGTGGTTTCAATTTCGTAGTTGACAGAAACAAAACATTACCAGATGTTCATAAGTCACAGTGCTAATCATCGAGTCCAGGAGCTATGAAATATCATACACTATTGTTGGAGTCATCAACTTTTTTTCTAATGGCAACTATGTCCTTTCTCTTTTGGACACTTTGGGTGGCTTAAGTGACTTGACTCTGGAAGTTAGGGTTTGTATTGAATGGCATAATTTGAATTTTCTTTTAATTTTAAAAAGTTTTTGTAGAGAATAAATTAAAGTTCCATCCAGTTGCAATCAAGCTGGTGATACCATCAACTCTTAAAATTTCCTTGTGCCCCTGAATTATCTTAAGATTCTTAACTTGAAACCTAGCAGAAAATTGAAAATGTGAAGTTACCCTTGTGTATTTATCAATTATCATGTAAGTCCAGAGTTTACGAGTTGAGAGTTACCTAAATGACCTGAATGGTGTGTTACAATCACGACCTTCCTTTCATGTGCTCCTTTCTTTTGTTGGTCTGTGTTTATGTCCTGTTAACAATTTGTCTCCAAAAGTCGCCAAATACAAGGAATTTTATCATGAAAATCATCTGCTTTAGAACCATTGCTGTATGTTGGATTTTTTTCATTTTGTAGGTTTAACAAATAGTTATGTGGACTGATAAACTATTCAATTGCTGAATTCATGTAAGCAAGATCAATTTGTGTGGTTTATGAAAACTTGTCGTCAGACATTCCCGAAATTTTCTTGCATGATATTTGTTGTGATCAGCCATACTCTTGAGCCTGATGAGTGTCCTAGGCCCTTAGCATTAGGTACTTCTTTATCAAATCTCTATTGCATGCTCTCCCACATAGAGATTGTGAACTACCATCCTAAACACATTGAATTCCTTATATCCTGATTGGTATAAATCACTTCTCCCATAGTTCATGATTATTCTCTACATCTTGCATCAAGTTTTAAGCAAGCTATGGTCAGAAATTAGGTTTTCCTTTCTATACTAACTGCTAAGTATTTATCTGGTGTGTCTTATCAATTTAGCTAGGGTAAATCAAACATTGCTCAGCTGGTAGTAGACAATTGACGTAGTAAAAGCAATATTGTCCAAAAATGGAAGAGTTTTCTGGGTTTAGATCATGAGGCTTCTTCTTGGAGATACTGATAAATATAACCTATGAAGTACCTACATGGCTACATCTTAAGATTTCTTAGTTTTGTAATAATCTTGAACTTAACATTATTACTATTGTGTCCTATGGAAGAAGGATTTGATGACCTTCACATGAACGCACCTGTTCCCGACCGGTAACTTTGCCTCATGATAGCTGTTGATCCTGCTTGGCGGTTCTGACTTCCGCAAAACTGTTTTTTTCTAATTGTTGAATTGATAGAAATACATTGCCTTTCTGATCAAGAGTCAAGCAGAAGCTACTTTTCTGTGGCAGAGTGGCTGTAGGGTTATGGCATTATGCTTATCCTGCATTTAGGTGGGACCCTTGTAAAAAGCATTATGTTATAATTTAGAGCAGCTTGGAGTTCTTTGTTATTATCTGCATCATAGAAGTGATATGATGGTTTGGGAGGGATTGCCTTTCTGTGTATAAATTCTAAAATGGGTTTTAAATTATTCTGGCATTGAGACCTTCCATGAATCATGATGAATATAATTTTCGTCTTACTAATCCAGCACTTGTTCATGTAAAGCATAAACACTGCTGTGAAATTGACCTGTGTCTCTAAAAGGTTGATTCATTGTCTTGCATGGCCTCCTATGTGAGCTCCTGGTGCCTGCTCACTGTGGTGTTTGCATGGCTTCTTATTGCTGCCTTCTTTTCACCTTCAAAACTCTGCTGCCTACCTCAAAGGCCAAACTCACATGTTTTATACAAGTACATTCTCAGAGGGTTCAGCACTCTTCTTGATCTGGTTGTAGCATGTTTTCCTGTAAGGATACATGATTTATGAAAATAAACTGTCTTTTCCCGTGCCTATTCTTCGATATATTGCTCACTCTTCATTTTGTCCATTGCTGATTATAGGTTTACATGCTATGTTAGTGAAAAGTCTCCAGTGTTCTTTGCGTGATCAACAATTTTAGTATGAAATGTTGTGGATGATAATTAGTGATTCCCAGTGCTTTTCTTTAATCAATTTCCGTGAATAATTTTATGTTACATTTTAATTCTCTTGTACCAAGTTTGTCTGTAAATCATTTTCTTTGCCAGTATGTCTTTTTTTTTTTTTTTTTTTTTTTTTTAATGATTTGTCTTGTGCATGCCCTTCAGAGACATTCACCGTCAGTATGGTGAGGTGGATTGCATTCTTTGTTACTTCATATATGATTAAATTAAGATACTATCAAATTGTATACAAGTCTTGTTCAAGCTGTTACCTTTTTCCTCCTGAGGTTTTTTACTCTAGCTCCTAACTCCTTGGTCATCTTAGGCTCATGGAATGGAGCATCTCATCATCCCAACCAGAGACTACCTGTATGCTCCTTCCTTTGATGATATCAATAGAGCAGTAGATTTTATTCATCGTAAGTAAATATTGGCTTGTTTTGGTTTTCTGCTATGTGCTTGATCATTATTGTTTGGGAATTTTGACAATTACCACCTTCTGTTATGTCCATTTTAGCAATTACCACCTTCTATTTTTTTTTTTTTGAAAATTATCACCTTTTACTTTCAAAAACATCAAAAGTTACCACCTTCTTGCCCCCCAACTACCACATAACGTCATTTTGGGCCCATTCTTTCCCTTCCCTCCCTATATCCCTCACATTTCTCATTCCTATTTGGATTCTCATCTCCCCTTTCACTTTTTTCCCCCAAATCACCAATAATTGTTCGTCAATTTTGATTTGGAGGAGTGAATTGAAGTGTTTTTGATTGTTTGGGGGAAAAAAAGTGAAAGGGGGGATGAGAATCGAGTTAGGAATGAGAAATGTGAGGGAAATAGGGAGGAAAGGGAAAGAATGAGCCCAAAATGACGTCATGTGGTAGTTGGGAGGCAAGAAGGTGGTAACTTTTGATGTTTTTGAAAATAGAAGGTGGTAATTTTCAAATAAAAAAATAGAAGATGGTAATTGCTAAAATGGACTAAACAGAAGGTGGTAATTGTCAAAATATCCTGATTGTTTTGCAATAGTTAGCTGACTTCAATTTTATTTTATTTATTTATTTTTATTTTTATTTTGATTGGGTACAGATAATGCATCTTGTGGTAGAGCAACTTATGTACATTGTAAAGCTGGGAGAGGAAGGAGCACAACTGTTGCACTTTGCTACATGGTAGTTATTTTTCACTGACAGGCTGACAGCAATTGTTAGTTGCCAAATTTCTGTAATGTAACTATTCAATCACTGGTTGATGTCTTTGACAGGTCAAGTACAAGCAAATGACACCATCAACCGCCATGGATGTAATACGTGCAAAACGACCTCGAGTGTTATTGACTTCTATGCAGGCCAAGGTATGCTAAAAGAAGCTCACTTTTCATTAATTGCTGATCTTTTATCTCTACGTGAAACTCTTCTAGTACTTCTAGAAGATCATAAAAAGTTTGCTGTTATCTTCTATGTAGTTCGTGGCTTTTGTGTTTATCCAATAGAATGTAGATGCAAGAAATGTTATGCAAGTCCTGTGTAAGTTTTTTAATTTTTTGCATCTTCTCCTGGATCCTCCCACAAACAAAAAGTGAATATTTGCTCCTAAAGTGAACCAATCTTATTAATTTTACCCATTTGGATGATTACACAAATTATATACTTTAGGAAGCTTGAATCTTAGGTGTTATCTTAGCTTTTTGCCTCAAAAATGTGAGTATACCATTTCAATCGCTCTATCTTCTATTCTTCTGCACTCACTAATGAGTAAATATCGATGGCAAATGAATACTAAGTACATAAATGTATGTGATCCATCAGTTCGTTAATAAATTGACCCAACCTGCAGGCTGTTCAACAATATTATAGCACCTGTTTCCCTGATTCTGGACACTCTCCTTCAAGCGATGAAGTCTTGATAACGCAGGCTGATCTTGAGGGATACAAAGAGACTTCTGATGATACTTCCAGAAACAAAGACGTATTCATCCCTAAAGCAGTTACAACAAGCCTTTCTTCCATCCTCTCGTCTTTGACCATTGCTTGTAGTTGTGTGTCAATTCGAACCCAGCAGCCAAAGCGAACTGCGTGCTAGTAGAAAATTAGGAACCAGATACACAAGTGTCCCAATGACATTTCCATCAATCTGCTACTTCTGTTTAGTCCCATCTTAGACTCATTCTCACTTGAGATGAGGAAATTATGCATTAGATTTTGCAATTGGCTCTCATAAGAAGGGATGATATGAGCTGGTGTTCCATGAATCCATGACAGTAGAGAGTAGTGTACAGATGAAGCAAATCACATTCTTTCAATAGATTTAATTGTTGATTGTCACTCATACAATACCTGTATTTTTGCCCTCTATATTGTAATTATTCTGCCTGTATATAACTCATACTGTACACCCGTATTGTTCACCTTTCTGACATTCTTAATATACAATACAACTTTTGCGCTGCCTGACTTTGTTGTTATTTAATACTCGTACCACAAAGGAAGTCACTTCATATCTGATTTTTCCTCTCGTATTATCTATCATTTGTAGTGAAATTTATGCTATAATTATGTGAATGCTCTTTGTCCTAGTGAGCTGCAGAAGTATCAAATATTGTTTGATGTTTAGGGTTGGATGATATTCCCACCCCTATCCCATAAACAGGAGGTTTTCTGTAACATTCAAACTGAAGGGGACTATAGCAGAGCTTCGAGGGAGAACTAGCTAGGGGAGACCCATATGCTCCAGGACGGCAGGATAGAATCCTCGTTTTTTATCCTTCGAGGGAGGGGAAAATAATGGTTGGAAAGTACCCTGAGATGGGTATCCCATGAAATAACCTGTTTTGGGCCAGTCTAAACACCGAAAAAGGCAGGATCAAGCTAGGCCTTGAATTGATCAGCCTTGTGTTGGATTGATCTAGCCATAGCCAATTTAGCAGTCCACTTTATCAGGAATTTTATAGGTAGTCCATGTTTACACTAGTTTCAGGACTAGACTGATAGATAGACCCTCAGGAGTTTTAGATTATTCATTTAGTGAAGGGTGAAACCGACATGCGCATGTTGGCCGCCACCTCTATGACTATTGGTGGTAGACGACTAGACGTCATATGCCGAGAGATTGATTGTCATACAAAAGTCTATTACCAAATTAAAAGACGTGCCTCGGAATATTGAATCATCATTTGCCTCTATTACTGTGTATTTCATGTAGCATAAGAGGGCGTGGAGGTTCGAGTCGAGGAGAAGCGTAAAAAGGGCTCAAATAACTATGATCGACTGATCGAGCTCATTAGCACGAGTACTAAATGTAGTGGCTATACTTAATCCAAGTTTAGCAAAGTTTAATTTGCAGCTACTTGCATCAATGAAGTCTTGCAAATAACTTTTCTCAGAAAATGCTCCTATTTACAAATGAGTTGTTATATACTGTCAAGTTTATTAAGTCTTGTTACAGTGTTCATCTATTTCAGAAATTCTTGGCTCAGCAACTTAGGAAAGTTAATGTTATGACATGAAACTATAACATCTGCTTGTTTTAAAAGTTCAGTTTATGCCTTCTCAAATCCATACAACATCTGAAGCCATGTATACTCCGATACATAACACATTCTGTTTTACCATACTATAACAAGTATTGTATTTCTCTTGTTTCGGAAATTAATGGTCACATACTCCCGTTCTTGGTGTGTAAATATGCATAGCATAATCTATTCCTTAATTTGAAATTATAAATCACCCGATCAACAACTCTATATGTTAAAATTGTTCCGTGATTTTGAATTGTTAGTTCGGAATAATTTGAAATTAGGAATCATCCGATTCAATGACTATAATCGATCGAGATCATAAGAAAAAGTAAAGGAGGAAAGGCACTCTATCCCCCCAGAGATTGGAATGAAAAGAAGGTTAGCCAAGGCCTTAAGAAGTTGCTTTGCTAAAGAATCCAAATAAAAGCCAAAGAAGGCAATGCAACTATCCATGTTGTAATATTCCAACTTGCACTAATATAATTCTTCTTGCAACTGCTTTACCAGACCAATTCTGTTAAAACCCACATTAATTTTTTAATTATACAAAACAATGCAAAACCCCCTTATTTTAACTCTTAATTAATCCCTCTACTTATCATTATTATTGCTTTTTAAAGCACCTTAAATCTTCTTACAAAGTTAAGAAATAAATTGAATATCACCTTTTTAGTTTGAACAAGACATTTCATCCTTTTTACCCTTATAAAACAAACATATAAATTGTATTTCTTCTTTTTAAAAACAAAATTAACTACAACATGTAATTTATTTGTACGTATAATACTGTAATACTTTCTATCTGTACGTACTTCTTCCATGTAGCAATTAAAAATAAACGGATAAAGTATGGTTCGTATTTGCATGTGGAAAGTGACATTAAACTTTGATTTCTAGAGCAAAATTTATCCCCTTCACTAGGTAGCCTAGTCTGCTACCTTTTGAAGCACTGCAGTATGTACTTGCATAAATACACTACCTTTATATATATGCCTATGCGTGTCTACATAATTCCGATGCTAGTTTATGATTCTAATTTGAGTATTTATTTATTGGGAATTGAAGTAATATACATTTCCTTTTCTTTCTTTTTACATATCAATTTTATCCACTAATTTAATTTTTTTATAAACCCTTTTTTGGGTTGGAGAGTATCCTATGAATTTACATGTATAATAACAGGACCACTGTATTATTGCTTTACCTTCAAAGTTTATCAATTGTTAGGCTTTCTCTCGACTTATTATGCCATGCTTAGCTAATTCACCTACTTCCTCTGTTCTTTTTTTTATTGCACCATAAGGGGTTTTACGCTTATCAATGCATTACTTTGGCTATTAATATCTTTAATTATACTTTTGTAAAAATTATAAAAAAATTGATATTTGAAAAGTAGATTTCAAGACGAATTTAACGAGATCTCTACATGACTATATATGTTTTTCCTAATAGATAAATTATAAAAGATGGTCAAACAAAATTAAGTGAATAGTGTAAAAGTCCTAATGGTGCAATAAAAGAAAAACGGAGGAAGTATTATCGTTCACTAGATATTATAGATGCACATCATTCACATCCCCGAAGTAGCTCATCTTGTGGCAAGATGGGATATGCATGAGAACTCGGAATTAATTAGTTTGTATTGGCTCTTGTTCATAGATAATCAAGACTACATACCCGAAAGTGTATTTAAATAAATAAAAAATTAAAAAGTACGGTGCTTAATTAAGAATAACACCTAAATATGTAGTATAAGTCGAGCACTCAATGCCAAGTTTATTACAGTAGTTATTTGGATAATTTTTATTCTAATAAAACGTTTTAACTTTTTATACAATTAACTAATCAAGAAATACAAGATACCAATACATAACCTCGGTAAGAAATCGATCCTTATCGGAATATTACTATATATCAGCATCAACAAAAAGTGGGAGGAATCTTATACTATGGGAGACTCATGGAAAGAATATTTTCGATGCAAATAAATGCTACATTTTAGTAGTGGAAGTTGATGGAATAAAATAAAGACTTAAAGCCTTGCTTTAATTCTAAACTATTCTAAAACAATGTTCAAAATTATCATATACTTAGGGAGGGAAACTTAAATTATTTCCAAATATCTCATTTGAATTTAATTTCCTTCCAAAATAATAAAGTTTTAAATTGTTGTACAATAATATATGTACAATAAAGATACAATTTGTCATAGAGTGCTATATGAAATACATACTTAGCTAATGAAGGTGTGATATCTTATCATCTTTGGTGCAAATTTCATTATCAATTTTATGACCTTATTATAATGTAGATATCTTATTGTTTTTTTTTTTTTAAAGAATTTGTAAAATATAGAAAATTTAAAGACAAAAACACTTCTCACCTTTCCAAAATCAATAAATTTGAGTGATATGATAATATTATAAGTACCTAAATGCGACAAAGACCTCAATTGAATTAAAAAGGAGTAAATGAATGAATTGATTTATTAATTAAATAATGTTATGTTCATAAAAAGATTCGTGAAATTGGCCAACAACTATGGAAATGATTGCATTGTAAGAAGAAATCAGTTGGAAAAAGGGTTAGTTGGTATGACACAAACTAAAATCCAAAGAAACTAAATTAAAATGTGCAGAAGTTGGCAATTTCCCAACACTTGAAAAAAGTTATGCAATATCTACACCTTATATATGCCTTAGTACTTGTTTGTTGTCTTTTTTCGCTTATGAAGCTACGATGAAGTTGCCTCCATCATACTCATTCTTCATGCACGTCCATCCTCGTACAAGCAAGGAAAACACCATGCAACTTCTCTCTCTTGATCTTTCTTGCCCGAAATTCGAAAATATATACCGTTCTATCCATTCAGAAATAATAGTCGTATGCGTATATATATTATTGACACCCATTATACGTCGTATTTTACTTTCTCTATTTCTAAATTAGTTGTTTTGATGACTGATACATTTGTTAATAGTCAAGTTAGTATACATGAATAATCAAAAGTCCATGCAATGCACTATTCTACAAAAGAAATAGTGAGAGTGAGGGATAACTCAAGTAGTTAGAGCTTATCTCTTGATTTCAGCATATTCTGAGATCGATTCTTACCCTTGCCCTTGAGGCTCTCTAAACACCAAAAAAAAAGAAAAAAAAAAGAAGAAGAAGAAGAAGAAGAAGCAAGTAATTAAATAATTTGTTTAATTATAATATATGAATCTAATCAAAAAGCCAATTGGGATAGGAGTACAAGTTGGTGCAATTGGAGAGTGCATTACCTGAAGATGTTCGGAGAAATTTGTCGGTCGTTCGTATTATCTATAGTAATGACGTGATTATTAGTTTGAAGATATCAGATTTAAAAATTTTCTTAATCTTGAATTTATAATGAACATTCTTTGATAAAATAGTATCATTCTCAGCTCTATTAGGACAATTATAAGGGAGTACTTTTTTTTTGCATAGGTACATACAAGGTAAGAACACCATATTTAGAAACCAATAATTAAAGTTTGGAATATGGCATATAATAAAGCAAAGAAATAAAATCTTACTACATGATTTCAAATGTATGTGATTTATGCTTCCATGCATTATGCGCGGCAAGAAGATTCCAATCCATATATTTTCCAAAAATCAAAGTTGAAAAGAAATTTAATCTCTTCTAGCTTTACTTCTAGCTTCCTCTAACTCAAGGTCCAATAATATACACAAAAGTCACCAATCACCATACATTTTTGTGGTAAATGTACCAACAAAAAGAGAGAATATATTCTCGAAATTCCTTTAATTTTTCTAACATGTAATGCACAAAGAAACAAAGTCATTATTCAAAATAATGTTTTGAATATATGAATAAAATTCACTTTATTATTATTGAAATTGAATGAGATATGTCATTACACATGCCCGTAGAGTATGAGTGTTAGTGACATGGCAATATATTGCTTATCACTTAGAAACATAAATTCATCATCATATAGATCTACTTTACATAATCTATCATATATTCTTATGTATGTCATGGGTCGATCTATTATTAAAACTTATATATACGTTGTGTGTGGTCGGGGTACCAACTAATAAGAACAATGTCTTAGGCTAGTTTGGACACTACACGACTGTGAAAAGGCCTCATCATATAAACACGTCCTTTTACAATGTCATGTGAGTTTGAAAGGCAACACATGATAGTAATATGTATTCAACATCACATACAACACACTCAGCTCCCATCCATCTAAATTTTTTTAGATACACTCTCCTGGATACACGTATAATAACTACAAACTCTTTCAAGTGATTTTTATTTCTTGGAGTCAAATTATTATCGAACATAAGCTAAATTAGTTTAGAACAAATTCGTATATCCACACTGTATTTCTTGCATGTATTTTTTTTTCAACAATGATCGATTAGATACTTGTACAACTCCGTGTAAAATTAATTATATATGAATCATATAACATAAATATTTGATTAAAATAAGGTTAAACCAGAATAACTTATAGAGTAAGGAAACTTTACATGCTCATACAATATACTTTAAAATCTACACAGAAGATCAACAACCCACGACTTTAAGAAATCATAATATTCTAAATTTCTAACACCTGATCTGATTCACTAATCATCAGTCCACCACTTATAAGAATTTATACATACTTGTACTTATAAATTTGACTAACATGTATATTATTTAATATATATATGTCATCAAATAATATTTTAGCAGAAAGAGTTGCACTCAATTCGATCACATTCAAATGGAACCTATGCATTCACAAAATAATTTAAAAGATAAAACAAAAAAATTGTAATAAATGTTGTGAACACATTTGTATTTGAAATTTAATTTACATCCTTTTATAAAATTTTAAAATGAGAAAACCTATACATTAGCACAAATAAAAAATACAATTGTTCCTATGACAATTTGCACAATTTCTTAATGGCAAATTTTTCATGTTTTTTTTTCCTTTCAGAAAAAGAGAAAAAAATTCTGTATAAAATAAAATGAAAACTTATACATTATACTCTCCTAGCTAGCTACAACAAACCACAAAATAAAGATGAAAATAAAATAAAAATAAATAAATAAATTATAGTTCTTAGAAAGATGATTTTGTAATCATATTGTTGATGATTTTGATGTGCTTTTTGGTCATCTAAATTGTCAGTAGTCCAGCAGCCTTTCTTTCTTTCTTTTTCTTTGTATGAGAGAAGAAGCCTTTTTTCTTTCTTCTTTTTCTTTCTATACAACATGGGACAGTTGTTAGATCAGTTAGTTCAGTTGTTGTTGATCTATCACAGAATTCCACCAATGAAAAAGAAAGTAAACAAGTATTACCAAGGCCATATGTATACATATACAAGTATATGCTTTGTATATAGATCGATCGAGTAGGTCTTCTGTCAAACCATCTGACCAAATGTTTTTGGCTTCCGTTTAAAAGAAAAATAGACGAAGCCTTTGGATATACTATATGTTGATGATAGAATTGTTTTTTTTTTTTCCCTGTAAAAATAAATTTAAATTGTTTGCCTTTTTTTTTCAATTTTTTTTCGGGTTTTACCCATGATAATGATGAGGATCTGAATGGTCAGGATCATGCCAGAAAGAGGAGTACTTCATCCAATCTGTTTCTGCTGGTGGATTTGTCATGGAAGACTCCTGCCATAAAATTGAGGAGAGAAAATAAAAATAAAAATAAAAATTAGGGTTAGGGTTCTATATGTACAAATTAAATAATTAATGTATGATATGGAAATTAAGAAGAAGCTACCTTTTTTGTCTTCTAATTTAAGTGGAAAAGACAGACATTGACAATTAAATAAAATTCTGATGTTGTTATCTTGGTATTGGAATAATGAAGCCAAAAGTTCTTGGGTCATTGTCTATATTTACTACTACTATATGTTATGCCAATTTTCTTAGCTCAATTTGAAGAAGACATTTTTTGGTTACGTTCATAATTGATTTTTAACCTTATATTTATATTATTATTTTATTGTTACCTTATTCTTTCAAAGAAGTGTACCAAAATTCTCCCTTAAAAATGTGTTTTGCATTATTTGTAGTGTTGTACTTTATTCATATTGAATGCTAGTTTGTACAATGTTTTATTATTTGGCTATTTTCACTATGTACTTTCCTATCATATATATTTTTCAGAAATCATACAATCATAAATAATTTTCAATGAAGGGATTGTTTCTTTTAATTAGAAGCCTAGTAATTTAAGGTTATACTTCGGGTAGTTTAATTTAATAGAATCGTACGTATACCTCTATAGTACGTCCCACACATAAAGCCCTAGAGAAAAAAAAAAATCTCTGTGCATAGTATGAATAATTAAGCCATAAGGGACCTTTAAAAATTAGATAACCAACATGACTTAGTGTTTAATTCTTATATGCATATTTATATATTTATTGAATTATAGGCATCAAGTTAAGGTCTACAATTTCATAGTAATTACTAACCAACTTGTATTATTTTAGCAACAATATAATGAATTTTCATGACTTCACAAATTTATAAAAGAACTGAGAACAACTTACAATAAGAATTTAGTGTTTATGCTTCTTTTTACTTCTATCATCATTTCTAATTCCTCTAATAAAAGTGACTCAAAAAAAAAAAAAGGTGACAAAGTTGTAACATATATAATTGCCCTAAAATTGATGGTAAAAATTAACAAATCAAACACCCCTAATTATTGGCAAAAAAAGTATAGCACTAGTTATATGGTCCTTACATAAAATTGGGGAAACAACAGTAGAAAACAGCTGCATGAAATTACCATAAAAAATGAAAAAGAAATGATGAAAACATTCTTTTGAATATGAATGTACAAACATTAATTGATGACACTCTATTATTCCAAAGTTTTCATTTGCACCGAAAGAGGCAGTAAGAAGAGGACCAAGTCCTTATCATAACCCCTCTCTTTTCTACATGCTAACGTGAATTTACCACCTAGATATATTTATGAAATTTAATTATTTTTTAGAGGAATTTATCTATTTCTAGGCCCCGTCGTTCAAAAAAAAAAACACGTAAAAAATAAATAAATGCGTGATTTTTATGAAAATTCCTACCGTTCTCATTAGCCATTAGTTAAAAACTAATCTTGAAACACAGGAACTAATATCAACATTGTATGTGTGTTACTTGTATATGTTCATTGATAAAGGGGCCTTTTTTTATCTATCATATTGTTACTTTGTTTTAGTAGGTAAATCCATTATTATTTTCATTGTTTATAGATCTTATTAAATTAAATGAGTTTCATTGTGTACATTGTACACAATAATGTACGTAGTAGAGAAGAAAAACAAATCAAAAGAAAAAAGAGATAAAGAGAAAAAGTAAAAAAAAAGGTTTCTAGTTATCTCTTTATTCTTAAACTACTAGTATAGTAAAGACGTATGTAGGGGGGGATTTTTTCATCTTTTCCAACTTTTAATCCTGTTTACTTTTTCTTTTTCTAAATCTATACATATTTGATCCATGTATTATATATACTCTATCCGTCCCTAAATATTGCTCATACTCTAATACTTTTTGTAACTCCATACAATCACCATCAAAACAGTAATAACAGGTAGATGAGATCAGACCAGACTGAATACACATATATAAAATCTCGTGATCACGAAATTATATAAATATAAAAAAGTAGACACACATAGAATTCAGAGTCAAAAAGGTAAGACTTACTTCCTTGATATCACCACCATCAGAAGCAGAAGAAGTGCAGCCCATGATGATTTCTTCTAAACCAGCAGCAGACCTTCCTCCAAGTTTATGATGTTGTTGTTGTTGTGTTGTCTGCTGTTGTTGTTGCTGCTGCTGATGTTGTTGTTGCTGCTGTTGTTGCTACTCAATACATAAAGAAAACATCAAAAGTTATAAAGCATGACATTATTATCAAAAAATATCATTTTGTCCCTACATTATTACCATATCTGAAAAGTTATTATTTAGCTCATATATATAAATTAATTAGCATAGATTGAACTAGCTTTGAACTAACATTAAAGTAATAATATATATATATATATATATATATATATATATATTTTTATATTATATATATATATATATATATATATATATATTTACTACTCTACGTTGGATGATTATGATGTTAGATAAAAAATTAATCCACTTTTATACATATTTTATTCTTAATTAAAGTGTACAATATATATGATTATTATTATTACTACTTAGACTTATTTTTAATATTCTTAGACCCCACATAATCGTTATTTATTGTTTGATAAATTAATGTTCTTCAATTGTTTAATTTTTCCAACATTGTCTATATGGTACACAAACTATGGCTAGAATAAGGACCATTCAATATACATAAATCATTATCAATGTACCACATATATATAAACTAAATGTATGCTATATATTTGGAGTTTTTCCTTTTTCATGTTAAAAGGCTCTTAGAAACATTATGCCAAGAAATAAATGTTGAGTTTATTTTATTATCCACAAAGTAAATTCTATATATCTTATTAGCCCTAAGTGATTACTTGATCCACTACTTCCTTGTGTGATGCAATTATCTCAATTGATCCCTCATCCCCTAATTAACAACTCTCACATAAATTTATTTTAAAAAAAAATTGTGCTCGTATTTAAATTACTTCTATAATACTCCGTATTATCTTTGTGATTTATGTAAAATAATATTTTGAGCATAAATATATTAGAATTTTAAATAGTTTTGAAAGCTATCTAGGTGTGAAGGACTCTATCTTTTCCTCCTCATATAAGTAGCTATGTTGTGCATTGCATAAATAAAAATCTCTAGTAATTTAATTATGAAATTTAGTCAGTAAAGAAATTATAAGAACTTCTTTTTTGACTAATGTACAAAGAAAATCATCTAAAAAGTCTAGGTAGAGGTTGTATGTTTAGAAAAAATTGAACATTTACAATCACATTAAACTCTAAGAAGGCAATTGATACTAAGAATTTAACTATCTACTTAATAAAGCGTCAAATATTTAAGTTGAAATAATAAGGTTGAAGTGTATATAAATTTCTACCTGATGAGTAAGAGCTTAAATTAGGTGTAATTAAAGTGTTTTCACTAAACTTTATTTGTTGAGATGATGTATTTTAAAACTTCTACTTGTTATCTTAATTCAATTTTACCCAATTCAGTACTTCGTACGTACAAGGTACACATTAAAATGATTTATTTTTTTTAGTTTTATTTCTTATAGGAATTTTTTATGGAATTATATACAAGTGTAAAGTAGAGAATTGAAGTGGAAAAAATTTTGTATTAATAATGTATTTGAAACAACATATTTGGGGTGAAAAAAACACTATTCTAAAAGGCAAAAAATTTTAGTGAGGAAGGTCACCTAATTTGTATTTTTCATAATGTAAGAAGAGAACTATTTCTGATCTAAATTGACTTAATAATTTGGACCTAAGTGAGCATGGGACTTTTGGACAACTAACTCGTAATTCATATGAAAGGGAGGGATAGCTAAGTGGTTAGAGCTTCCCTCCTGATTCTAGGAGATCCTGTGATCAATTCTCACCCCACCCTTGTAGCTCTCAAAAAAAAAAAAAAAAAAAAAAAAAAAAAAAAAAAAAAACTCATAATTCATAGACAAATCCATGCATGCCATATAATGTATCTTGTTAATTGTAGTTATTACATGACACATATTAATCCATCATACATGAAATATAGTTAGAATTGATTACCTGATGATGATGAAAATTTTCATTTTGGAGCATGATTCGCGATACATGGTGAAAGGAATCATCATCAAGAATAATGGAAGCATGATGGAGGGGAGGAGGGGAGATGATTTGGGAAATGGGATGTGATGGTCTACTCATGTGAAAGGCGGCCGAGGTTGCTATGGATTGGTGTGTATGATGATGGTGATGATCTTGGGGAGCATTCATAGCATGAGGATGGTGATGAAGCTGATGATGTTGTGGCCTTGGCTCGTGGTCGTCGCATGCCGCCGACATGGCGGCACTTTCCCTTACTGTTGTTGAACCATCTCCCATTCCCGCCTAAGGGACAAAGTAAACAAGGGCATAAATTAAAGCTAGATTAATTAGCTATACTTTAGCTAACAAATATATTTTTACTACAACTTGATTGTGTTTTTAGTACTTTATTTTGCATTTTAAAATTAAATGAAGTTTAATTTACACTTTTACAAGGTTGCCAAAGATTTTGTATCTTTAATTCTTCATCTTACTAAGCTATTCTTAATAAGTTGGTAAACAAATTAAAGTCAAAACTTTGGTGCATGATAGTGATTGTTTGGCAATCAAAATTTAATTAACTTCTTTATTCTTTGCATGCAAAGCCATTAACACAAAAAATATTAAATATAAATTAAAACTAAAAAAAAAAATTTAGAACTTTACTCTTTTACTTTTATTTCTCTCCTTTTTTTTTGGCTATTTTTATCAAGTTTTTTCTTCAACTAGGAATCCATTTTAAGGAACCAAATGCAAATGTTGTGTGACTAGTTTTATCTTTTATGAGTATCATCATATATTAAATTCAAATCTTAATTTGTACATAGTACTTTGTAATATTTAAATTAGTGTGACAAACTCCCTAACTATTAGTACTTTATTAGCAAAAGTGTAAAAAAATAAAATTGTGTGGGTATTATATTTCTAATTCAAATCTCATTTAGTACTTTGCTATATTTAATTAGTGTGACACTCTCTAATTCTAACTCGATTAGTACAATTTTAAATAGATATTTTTAAAAGTTGAAATAAAATGACTTGTAATTTACTTAATTTTGTTTTTTAGGTACACAATTATTATTTTATGAGAAAAAAAATCATAAATTGTGAAATTTCACCCATTTGGTAGGACAAGCAAATGAATAGTTGAAATTCAAACACAATCTACATTGGGAAAGGAGAAGAATGAAAGTATTTTTACCTCATCAAAACCTTTTCTGGTATTATTATTAGCAAATGGATTAAAGCTGAATTGTTCAGCAGCTCTCAAATGCTGCATATCCAACGCAGTAAAACTCGAAAGCGCGGCAGCAGCACCACCAACAACATTAACACCAGCAGAAATAGATATTTGATCATCTCTACTATGATGAGTAATCACTTCTTTAGATGAAGAAGTACTTCCACTACCACTTCCACTCTCTCTTCTTCCACTAGGCTCACTTCCATCTCCGGTTGTCGCGCTACGTTCCATTGTCCAATTACATTGCCTAGGTTGTGTTTGGTAGAATATTTTGGACACTACTAACTCCCCTTCTTTTTCCTCTTCATGTTGTCCTAAGTGATATTGATGCATCACCCAATTTGTTTTCTCGGGTTTTCGATTTTTGCCAAAGTTTGTGTATAGGACTAGAATCTTCTTACACCCCTTTTGCTTCCCATTCACCATTACTGGCCTTGTCTTGCCTGTTTTATGCCACCGGGTTTCGCCCCCTTGGAGGTCGCATTCGGTTTGGATTTTTCTTCGTTTTCGTGTTCCGGTGGTGTAGGCCTTCGACGGCCTATGGAAGAAGTGTCTACTCAATCCATCTCTAGTCACTCCTGTTGAAAAATTAAACAAACATATATAAAATCCAAAGAATGAAATGAGAAACAAGAAATTGAAAATATTGATATTTCAAAGTTAGGTTGACTTAGGTGCAACCAACTATAAGACAAATGTAAATAAAACTACTAATTATGAATATGTGATGTAATGAAAGTCATAACAAACAATGGAGTGGTAGAATATTTTGGGAGGAAAACACTCAAAAATAACTATTTGGGGTGGTGGTGGTGGTTAATTAGTGTTTTTTTAGTTAAGACTTTGTGATTAATTAAAAAAAATTGGTTATAACCTTTTTTTTTTTTTTTTTTTTTTTTGGGTAGACAAGGAAGCAAGGTGTTTTAGATTAATGAAACAATGTTTTTTTTTTCTCTTACAAAAAAGGATTCTTAAATTTTAGTATAATCTTATGATTTTTATTTATTTTTTTTTACAAAATTCGGCGAAAAAAGAAGATGATTAAATAGAATACCTGGGAGTTTTTCAGGATGAGTGTAACAAATACCATCTTCACCTTCAATAGTAGGGATAAACTCATCAATTAAAGGATGAGATTTGGATGATTTTCCTTCCACTTTTGCTTCAAGATGTTCTATCAACTCTTGGTCTGTTGGGTCAAATTTAACACCAGCTGGTAGACCTACCCAATCCTGTCCCCAATAATTTTCAAGAAACTTCATAAACAAATTAGCACCTTCAAAAAAAAAATTACAACCCAAAAATGAATTTATAACATTAAAATCAATTTTCCGAAATCATTATTAGTCTAATTATATCAAATTTGTTAACAACGCTTACTAATAAAAATACGGGGTATTACAATATATTTTAAGTACATACCGGTTTTGATCCTTCGAGTCTATGACCGCAACCAGGGCACTGTTTCGATCCACAAAGCTGATGTTCCTCAAGCTTAGCATCTATGAGATCGCTCGCGCTACTAATGGAGCTTAATTGGGATTTGTTACTACTATTATTATTATTCATAGCTAACTAAAACCTAATTAATTATAAAAACTAATTAAGAATTCTTCCCTAATACTCCCTCAACTTTTTTTTGAATGATATAATTATACTAACTACTATACTACTACTACTAATAATAATAATAATAATACTTTTTTTCCTTTATTATTATAACAATAGTGACCTTTGCTTCTTCTACACTTCAAATAACACTCTTCATCATCAATAACAATTGTTGTTGTTGTTGTACTAACACACCATCAATGATCATTCCTTGAATATCATCCATCAAAACTGCACCAAAAATCGACAAGAACAAAAAGAAGGGTTTATTTAACACGAGAAGAGCACACGATTTTGATTGGAATACAAGAAAATCGAAAGACCCAGATGAAATTAATGACAACCCAGATGATAAAATTGAAAACCCAGTTGGAAAAATGGTTTTTTTCTCCAAGAAAAAAATACGAGATAGAGATGGAGGAGAGAGAAAATGAGGGGATAAGAAGAGAAGAAGAAGAAGAAAGGGAAGAAACTGACAGTCACGGTGGAACTCAGCTAAAAAACACACACTTACTCTAGAGAGAGACACATATACTAACTTTGAATAAAAGGGGAAAAAATATTATTGGATATTTATATAAATTTTGAATATAAAAAGTGGAAAATAAAAAAAAATTAATAAACCCAGAAATTGGTGAAAACTTTAACGGAAGAAGAAGAATTGAAGAAGATGAAAAAGGAAAAGGTGGGTTCAGACAAATAGGTATACAATAACCCACCTTTAAAGGACTTTCCCAAATTAAGTATGGCGGTTCTTATATTTCTTGACTAACTGCTTCCTAAAGCCTTAAGAATTTAAAATAATAAAATATAAAAACTATAAAAAAAAAAAAATAAATAAATAAATAAATAAAGAGGGAAAAAAGGGGTAAAATTTGGAGTTGTTGATTGAATTAAAATTACAACATTTTATGTTATAAACTTATAAACATGATTTTTTTAAAGGGGTATTGGTGAAATTAATGGAATATTTGGTGGGGTGAGGGAAATTTTAGTAAAGTTTAAAAAAAAGATACCCAATTGTCAAGTTAGAAAAAACACAAATTAGAGAAAATTATAGGGGTGAAATTGAATTTTTTTTTTTTTTTTTTTTTGTAAAAAAAAATAAAATTAAAAATGGGGTTTATGGGTCATTAAGATAAGAATTTTGTTTTTCCTAGAATCAAGCTTTTTACAGAGAAAGAAGGAAGAAAAAGGAGGGAAATTAAATTAAAGGAAATAAGAAAATAGAGAGAGAAGAAGGGAGAAATAAAGGAAAAAGATGAACTCACATGGGTTTTGAGCTGGAGTGGTGATCATGATTCTTTTGCCATGAAAATGTTTTGTATTTTTTTTTTTTTTTTTTTTGGCTACTAAATTTTTTAAGAAGAAAGAGAGAGAGAATTGCAGAGAAGATGAAAGAGTTGCTTGATATGCAAGGCAAATGAGCAGTTTATGTACTTGATGGACCACCTACACAAAATCACCCCTTAAATCCCTTAATATATGAAATCCTTTTGGATTTCCTTTTACTCTATTATTTATCATTAACGGCCAGTTTGATAAATGTTATCCCGTAATAAATCGTGGTAATGGTAATGAATTTTTATTAAATTTGATAATGCGTAATACTTTGTATTTCCTTCATTTCAAAATATTGTCTTAATTTTGACAAAAAAGAACAACATTTAGAGGCTGAGGAAGTGTGATTCTATAAGAAAAAGAGTCATGTTAACGTGTCACCAACTCACCACAATACTTGTCTCCTTCCAAATATCTTCATTAATTTTAATTTCATTGAAACTCATTAGCATTTGTAGATGTGGTAATAAATTTTGTATAAAAATACACATGATAATATGATACATAAGATATGAAGTTTAATTAATTACATATCCTGTGCCCTATAAGGACATTGAAGCGAGACTTTTATTTTTCAAAATAACTCCTAATTCCATTACATTTAAACCTTATTCATTATCATGTGCTAAACAGGCAGATAGCGTGTTAACATTTTCAATACCATTTTCTGTCCCCACCCCGCACCTGTTTACTTTTCAAGAATGGACTAAAACTGTTAACAGCTTCAATCCCCCCCCCCCCCACCCCTCACCCATTCACTTTACAAGGTTGTACTAAAACTATTACAAAGTAATTCAAATTAACAAAATATCTTTATGATATAGAGTTATAGAACAATGCTTTTAATTCTTTTTAGTAACAATATTATATATTTTTTAATTATTTTATTAATGATTAGTTATATATGCTATTTAATTTTGTTCTTCATTAAGTTATTGATTTTGGTTAAAAGGCTTTCATTAGCAAATTTGATCTCCCTCTGTCCCTTTATTTTGACTTATTGCTAGCTAATTTTTGGGTCAAACTAACTTTGAAAATTTCGACCATATATTATCGTTAATATATTAGGGTAAAAATAGTCATGTGAGATCTTGTTAAATTCATCTCATTGTATATTTTATTTATATGATCACCTTTTTTTATAATTTTTACATGTATGGAAATTAAGACAGAGGGAGTACTACGTAATAACAAGATATCTTTATAGTGAATCGTTATTGGTGGAGGTGATGGTAGTGGTCAACTAAAATTCTAATTTAAAATCTCCCAAAATTTCAATTTGAAAATTAGAAAAACCATACAAAATACTTCGCATTAGATATACAATATACCATTGAAAAAATAGAAACTAATAATCCCACCTTTGGCTTTGCTGCTCAAAACAATCCCATCTTTTTGAAATGTAGAACAATCCCACCTGTGACCCCCATCTGCTCATAATGAGCCTTTTTACCTAAAACCTGTTTAACAGGAACTATTTTTTTATTTTTTTATTTTTAATTTTTAATTTCTTACTACCACCGTTTCATAAAATCTGCAACAATTGATTGTCAAAAAGGAAACTACACATTATGTGCAACAAACTTTTTCTTTCCTTTTTTGGTAAGGTTTTTCTAAAAGAAATTACTATATGCCCCATATTTAAAAACTATATGCCTTTCTAAATGAAATTACTATATGCCCCATATTTAAAAACTATATGCCCCATATTTAAAAACTAATAGCATTATTTAAGTAACTAATTTAAATTAATTAGATTACTTAACATTAATCATTATAAAACTCCTTCTCTCCCCTGCCTACAACTGCCACCATCACCATCATCATTGACCACCGCCATCATCACCGACCACCATGAGAACCACCATACCAGACCACCAACACCACGAATACCTTCGACACCACACCACTCATACCAAGGCCACCATAAACACTTCCGACATCAGACCATTACACCCACGAACACCATCTTCTTCATCTTCATTTAGGATTCATTTTTTTATCATTGCCGCCGCCACGACCACCACTAGTTGCGTTCTTCTTCGTCTTAATTAAAGATCTCAGATCGAAATGAAAGAGAGAGATAAATGGGTGTGCGATGTTAAGAAAACTACAGAAATCAAATCTCATTCTAGGGTTGGTGTTTTCATGTCGATTTGTTGCGGCCTAGGAGGGTGAATGAGGTTGGTGGGGTTTCGATTTGTTGCGAGGTGGGTGACTGCATGGTGGGGTTTTGGGATTTTTCTGGTGCAGTGGTGGGGTTTCGAGATTTTGTTCATGGTGGGGTTTCATGTGGTGGCGGTGTTAGTGGTGGGGTTTCGGGATTTTGGTGGTGGGGTGGTGGGGTTTCGGGATTTTGTTCATGGTGGGGTTTCATGATAACACGATATTATACATGATTTATATGTGATATTTGGTCATATTTTATTGTGTTTCCTTCATTTTCCTACTCTTTTAGAGCTATTATTCTTCCTATTTCGATATTGCTCTTCTCGGTTTGTTTGTTTTTGTTTTTATAGGAATAGAGATCTATTTGCGTGGAATTCAACTTGGACGCAAGATATTCTTCATATGGAGAGTTTTTAGCATCCACGAAACATCATGGCAGCCTAGTCCGCAGCTTGATTGCGGTTTACTATGACCTACCGCAGCTTACCTGTGGCGCACTTCACAAAGGAGCAAGAATTCAAGTCGGCAGCCTACAGCAATACCGCGGCTCGCGACCTTGTACCGCAGCCCGGTTGCGGCCTCTTCATTACCAACGAAATTAGCCCTATTTTAGGGATTTTAGGAGTCCTAATCCTAAGAAAAGACTACTATTATTTTCCTAACATATAAATAGGTTTTAGATAGTCTTTTATCTATCACTTTTTACATACATTATTTTAGAGCTTTTGGTATTACGTTCTTCATTATTACTTTCAAGATTCAAGTTTTCACATTTAATTCCAATTCCAAGTATTGATTTCTCTTCCTTATTCTCTTTAATTTTTATTGTTATTATGTTTTCTTTAATTAATTGTCTTGTTACTTCTATTATTATGCGTGAGTAGTTTCATAATCTAGGGTTAGGTTGAACCCTAATATGGATTGATGTGTTATTTGATTCCCAATTCCCAATTTAATTAATTCATAATTTCTCTTTGTTAGGGTTGGTTTTATTATCAATGATAAACTAGAAATAGTATTATTGAATGTGATTAGGTTTACAACGAAAGTTGATTCTTAATTGAATTTAGAACCCTAATTAAAAGTAAGAGCTTTTATGCATGAAAATAGTTAATTGTTCTTGCTAGGGCATATAGGATGCCGTTCTCAATGTCTTTAATATGTATGATTCCATGAAAATAGGTATGATTGCATGTTAGGGAAGCTATTAGTTGATCGAAAGAAACTCTTAGTATTGTTTTAGGGAGCATCTGTCTTGTGGAATATTTATTAATTTAATTGAGGGAAAGGGATTGTTATATTTCATTGATTCATATTAGTGGGGATACTTAATCTTAGATGTCTTTAGTTCTTGATTAATTCATTATTATAATTTTCTTTGCTTGATAGTTTGTAATTGTTCTAGAATAGATTTCTCGATATTGATTGGTTACTTGCTTAGTATTGATTTGAGTCTGTTTAATTAGTAGTCCTTAGTCTCTTGGGATTCGACCCCTACTTGCTCAACTACATAGTAGAGTTAGTTCGGTTATTATTTTTGTTAGGTACGCGACACACCTATCATTTCAGGTGGTGGCGGTGTTAGTAGTGGTGCGAGTTAATTGGGTGAGGTTGGTTTTGGGTGGTTATGGAGGGGTTTCAGATCTGGGTTGTGGTGAGAGTGATTAGAGGATGCGGTGTTAGTGGTGGAGTGAGTTGGGTGGGACGGTGGTGCGAGTTGGCTGGTGTGGTGTTGGTGGTGCTGCTGATGGGTGTTGCGAGTTGGCTGGTGCGGTGTTGGTGGTGCTGATGATGGGTGGTGTCAAGGAGAAGATGGCAGTAGGTGGTGGACTAGTGGTGGCCCTTGATTGATTAAGTATCCCCTCTTTCTCTCCCTACCCTCAATCACATACCCTTCACTTTGTTAATCAAGCATTATCAAATTTTGTCTTGGGAAACGTGCAGCCACGTTTGTTGCAGATTTTATGAAACGGAGATAGTATATCTCCTTCTTCCTACCTCTCACCTCCCAACTCCTTCAATGGCATCACCACCACCGCCTTTCCATAACCACCATTACAGCCATCACTTGATGCCCACCTAACCTCCACCACGAACTCCAAACCCAACCCCCTCACACCAGACCACCACCTCTCCATAACCACCACTACAGATTTACAGCCACCACTTGATACCCACCTAACCTCCACCACGAACTCCCAACCCAACCCCCTCCCACCAGACCACTGAAATGGCCACTAATTAAACCCACATACCAAACACTGCCTGACCCACCATTTAACCCGCGAAAAAAATTAAACCACACGACTGCGTTGTCCAACCCCAGCTGGCTTTGCAATCCAACTCCGGTGATCCATATGAGCTCTACCCCTTAACCGGAAACTCATCCCCACCACTAACTTGACACCACATCCAAAAAACCTCTCTCATTTAACAACCACCGACACGAAAACCCACACCACCTCTCAAGTCTTAACTCTATCATCCAACCACTCCACTGATAAACATTAAGCACCTCTCAACTTCACTAATTCACCTTGCTAATCTTCTTCCCTTCTCCAATCCAATTTCTCGCGCAATTGTCATTCGAAACCTCACAAAACTGGAGCAATAGTCGATTGAAGTATGCTTTTATACACTAGGGAATGGGGGCTGCAATTTAGTGGGTGAGGCTCTAGCACCGGCAGGAAGAGGGGAGCTAGTTCAAGTGGGGGATTAGGAGAAGAAGGAAGATGAAAAGGGCTAGAAGTGAAATGAATAATCACGTGCAATGGTGGTTTTAATTTGTAGGTTGTCGTGGCTTTATCAAGGGAAGAGTTAGCTCCGGCAGGGATATGCCGGGTGGGTGAGTCCGGCAAGGGAAGGGATTGGGGAAGTGGGATAGGGTTTTTAATTTATTTTTTTTAATTATCCTTTTTAATAAAATTATGAAACAAAACAAAAACCAATAAGAAAGTGACACGTGTCAAGTCACCTTCTTTAATAGGTTACGAATTTGATAAATCGGTAAAAGGCTCATTTTAA